CACACCATAACATCTTTATAAATTCTTCCTTGGAATCTCTCATCTTCTGGTTCATGGATTAAAAGCCCATTTATGTGTAATTCTAATCCTCAGACATTGGAGTTAGACACTGAGGCAGACACCGGGGGGCCCTGGGGCCTGGTGTGGAAGCATGATTTCCCTGCAGCGAACTGGAGAACAGAAAGAACACTAGAGAATCCGGGCTTTTTTGTTTTGTTTTGTATTTGTCTTGTTGGTTGTGGGGCTTGAACTCTGGGCCTGAGCTTTTCAGATCAAAGCTAGTGCTCTACCACTTGAGCCACAGCACCACTTCTGGCTTTTTCTGTGTATGTGGTGCTGAGGTATGGAACCCCAGGCCTCATGCATGCTAGGCAAGCACTCGACCACTGAGCCACCTTCTCAGCCCAGAGAAGCTGGACTTTTATAAAGCCCATTCCAGGGGCTTCTCCTTCAAAGGGGCCTGGCCCTCAATCAGCCATCTGTCTAACAGAGTACACACAACACTGAGGCCTTTCCAACAGAAAAACAGTTTACCTGCGAACTACACCAACAATGACTGTGTTTTCTGAGAATTTTGATGACTTGATCGACCTAAAAAAAGCAAACAAGTTTTTAAGCATATGTATATACACACATATATACATTTATACATATGTATACATATACATACATATATAGATAGATAGATATAAATATCCCCTCTGGTCCTGAGGCTTGAACTCTAAGCCTGGGTGCTGTCCCTGAGCTGCTTTGTGCTCAAGGCTAGCACTCTACCACTTGGGTCACACTGATACTTCCAGCTTTTTCTTTTTCCTTTTCTTTTTTTTTTTTACTGTCAGTCATGGGGCTTGAGCTCTGGGCACTGTCCCTCAGCTCTTCAGCTCAAGGCAAGTGCTCTACCATTTGAGCCACAGCACCACTTCTGGTTTTCTGGTGGCTTATTGGAGATAAGAGTCTCACAGGCTTTCCTGCCCTGGCTGGCTTTGAACCATGAGCCTCAGATCTCAGCCTCTTGAGTAGCTGGGATGACAGATGTGAGCTACTGGTCCCCGGCCAGAAATTAACATTTTCTTACTACCATTTTGTTTCTTCTAGTTCTGGAGATCAGACCCAGGGCCTTCATCACAAAAGCGATAAGGATTCCTCCCAGAAAGAATAGTTTTGCCATTTTGCTCTTCAGCATGTAGGGAAGCTCACTTGCACAGGGTCTCCGCATCTATGTGCCGGGGGTTTCTGTGGTCAATGACAACAATGTCGTGCAGCTTGTCCAGGAAGCAGTCGAGGGCATCCCGCGGCTCCCTGGCCACTGTACACTTGAACCCTGCCTTCTCGCATGCCTTCCGGAACCCGTTACACTGGCTGTCTTCTTTGGTAAACACTAAAAGTACCTAGATCCAAGAGTGGAAACAGTTTTTAAATGAGATGTTGTCAGACTGTAATGTCTTAATAAGCCACAGAAAATAGCCAGGTGTTTTTAAGATGGGACACAGGTGTCACATGACATCTGCTCTCCTGCCTAAGCTGTCGATCCCACCACTGAGCCAATCAGCAGCCTGCTCCATCAGCTCACTGTGCCAACCCACAGCTCTCTCTCTCTTCTCTCTCTCTCTCTCCTCTCTTTTTTTTGTCTATAGTCAAGACAATCATATTATTTTTATTGTAGGATGTCTCCAAAAGCCACACATATGAAACAATAGTCATAAACAAGAAACCCAATATGTAACAGCATAGAACTAGATTATTTATTTATTTATTTTTGGATCCGGTCGTGGGGCCTGAACTCTGGGCCTGGGCGCTGTCTCTCAGCTCTTCAGCTCAAGGCTAGCACTCTACCACTTGAGCCACAGCGCCACTTCCAGCTTTTTTTTTTTCCTTATGTGGTGCTGAGGAATCGAACCCAGGGCCTCGAGCATGCAAGGCAAGCGCTCTACCACTGAGCCACCTTCCCAGCCCCTAGAACTAGATTATTAAAACTCAGAGTTTACAAGGCAACAAATATCTACTATGCCATCTCATATTGGATAGGAGGTAAAGAATCAGTCTCTCTCTCTCACACACACACACACATGCGCACGCGCGTGAGCTTTTGTCTTTATCACATCACAACCAACTTACTGTAGGTTGCAGACAGTCTTCATTCACCTGAGAGAAGGCCATTCTGTACAGCTCTTTCCTAAACCCTACAGAAGAGAACTGACAGGCAGTGAGCCCAGGATGGCCCCTTAGTACCTGAAGTTGATCCTGATGAATCCTCATGGGCCCAAATTGCACATCAGCTACTGTTCCCTGTAAGAAAGAGATCTGCTTAAAAGCAAAAGGAAACGGTGCGATTTTTGCTTATATGTTTCTCTACTTAGCAGCACAGATGAAAGTAAAGTATCTACTCTACAAAAAAAACTACAGAAACAGGATAAACTTTTTATTTTTGCCAGTCCTGGGCCTTGAACACCGTCCCTAAGCTCCTTTTTGACCAAGGGTAGCACTCTACCATTTGAGCCACAGTACCATTTTGGCTTTTACTATGATTAATTGGAGATAAGAGTCTTCCTGGCTTTTCTGCCCAGGTTGGCTCTGAACTGAGATCCTCAGATCTCAGCCTCCTGAGTAGCTGGGATTATAGGCGGGAGCCACTGGCACCTAGCAGGATAAACATTTTTTTTTTTTTTTTTGGCTGTGGGGCCTGAACTCTGGGCCTGGGCGCTGTCCCTCAGCTCTTTAGCTCAAGGCTAGCGCTCTACCACTTGAGCTACAGCACCACTTCCGGCTTTTTTTTCTGCTTATGTGGTGCTGAGGAATCGAACCCAGGGCCTCAGGCATGCAGGGCAATCGCTCCACCACTGAGCCGCCTTCCCAGCCCATGATAAACATTTCTATCTCAGCAGTCTACTAGCTGAGTGAACCTAAGAGAATCACTTCCGCCTTCCCAGCCCAGTTCCTCCTTTGTCACAAAAATCAAATTACACTATGAAGAGCCTCCAAATAATAAGACACCAAACACTGGTTCCTGTGTGCCTATTTCCATCTTCTCCTGATGGCCCCCAAACTCCTTCATTCAGATGGCACTGAGCAATGCAGTCCGACAGAGGACTGAACATGTCAAACAAAGAAACCTCACTGACAATGTTAATTAATATTAATATTAACTGCTGGATGGAAGAAGGAAGTATTGCTATGGGCCAATTACTTGAAAAATAGTAAAATATTACATAATAAAGACAGCTTTTGCTAAATGTCAGGGAAAACTCACAGTCTAAAATCTCAATCAAGTTGGATATGGCGGCGCACACCTATAATTCCAGCACTTGGAAGGCTGAGGTAGGAGACCTTGGATGGGAGGCCAGCCTGGGCTACACAGCAAGACCCTATCTCAAGAAAAAAATCTATTTTTTTTATTATGAAACAAGAAATAAATATTCTAAACTGTAACTTCATTTAAGTTTGTGAAAATTAAAGTAAAAAGAAAACAAGCTTGCCTAGCATACAGAAGGCTCTAAATTCAATATTTACATCCCAACCCCTCCCCAAAGCTAAGGAAACCACTTGTAGAAACCAAATTAAAGGCAATAATTAACATGTTAATTACATGCTGATAATGTACATAAATAAAGTGGACTGTGTTGGTCGCAGCTAGGGACAGATCAAGTGTGTGCAGCTCAGGGCACTTAGGATGCAGTCCATACACAGGTGTGAGACAACTTCACGACAGACCGTGTAACTTTATGACCTCTACTTAGGAGAAATTCCAACACCAAATTCATTTTGAGAAATAAAAGACACTGTCGATTCACTTTTTTATGATTTGAGTTCTGTACACTGTGTAATTTTAGCATTTTTAGGCATTCATGCTTCTTCAGTGTGTCCATTTCACCACTGAACACAACTTAGATCACATTCACCATCAGCCAGGAATGCCTGGTCCTTGGGACCTGTCAGCACAGGGTGTCAGCACCACCAGTCAACTACAAACGAACCAGCGCCCCTCCAAAACAGCCACCTCCAGGAATCCTGATGACCGTACTAGAGGGCAGGCCTCAGCCTCCTCCCCAGACGGGCATCAGAGCCGCTCTAGGCTGTGTCCATCCATCCTCCCTGTGCCTGAAAATCAGAATCAAATCAGCCTGACACTTCAAGCTAGCAGTAGTAGAGCTTGAACTCGGCTAAGGGTGTTGTCCCTTATTTTTTCCCCCCAAGGCTGGTGTTTTATCACTTGAGCTACAGCTCCACTTCCAGCTTAAGTTAAGAGTCTTGATGACTTCCTTGCCTGGGCCGGCTTTGAACCAAGATCCTCAGACCTCATCCCCCTGAGTAGTTAGGATTATAGGCGTGAGGCACCAGTGGGCCAATCTGGGAGTATTTATTTGTTACTGTGTAGATATATTTTAGATATCAACACCTTATCTAATATGTGATTTCCTAATATTTTCTCCTAGTCTTCAAGGTGTCTTCAACTGTGTTTCTTTGTTAATGTGATGCAACCCTATTTATTTTTACTTTCACTGCATTAGACATTTCCTAACCTCATACAAAAAAAAAGGGGGGGCTGGGAAGGTGGCTTAGGGGTAGAGTGCTTGCCTAGCATGCATGAAGCCCCTGGTTTGATTCCTCAGTACTACATACACAGAAAAAGCAGAAATGGTGCTGTGGCTCAAGTGGAGAGTGCTAGCCTTGAGCAAAAGAACCTCAGGGTCAGTGCCCAGGCCCTGAGTTCAAGCCCTAGGAGTGTCCAGAAAAAAAAAAAAGCAAAAGGCTGATAAGTTAAAATTTAAAATTAGGAATTTTTATTCATAGAGAAGGAAATGAAAATGTGGGCCCCAAATGTTGGAGATGCTATCTACAAATTATCATCAAAGAACTCATACCCACAATATATAAAGAATGTCTCATGATTAATAAGAAAACAATCAACAACCCCACTGGAGAGACCCTTGCACAGTCAGGAGATGCTAAGATACTAAGAACTGAGAAAAATTATTCAATTTTTATCAAAATTCTGCTAGGAAAGTGAGCTCATTGATAATTTTTAAGTTTACCAATTTTATAAGAATTGGTATAAATGGGAAATATTAATGGATGTCTTCATTTTATAAAAACAACTTATCACTGGGTAAAATCTCTCCTATTTTAAGAGCACTCAAAGAGAAAAATGAAAAAACAATTGTGTCTACAATCTGTGTGCCCACTACGGGGAAATGAGCTACACTTACGCAGTTAAGACACAGTGGAGAGCTTTGTTTCCATAGAGATGATGACACAACTGATACAAGCCTTAAATGAGAATATTGAGATTTGAATTGAGAAATGATCTTTTGTCTAAACGAATAGTGTATTCAGTGTGAATAACAGCGCTGCACAGCTCTGATATCATTTCCTCTTCAGTAATGACTAATCGTGAGAATACATCCAGGCAGTCCTAGAGAGGAATTCATGCTCCCCAAATTTCCCAAGTACCTGTCATCTAGGGAATGGGGTATTTCTACAGGCTGTTCAAAAACACTGACCACAAACAGCCAACACAAGTCAGCAAAATCCTGCTTGCTCTGCCCGCTTCCTTCCAGTCTGAAGAGCGGGACAAGCGGATTGTCCTCCTCTGTCACCATCTCCTCATCTCCCAGACACGCTGTGTGGTGGGCAAGGGAGACACCCCCAAGCACAGAGCACCAGGGGGGCATGCTTCCATGTGCCCGTCCCTCGGTGCTCTGGCTAAAGCCTGGGCGGTCTGAGCAGGTGTCCTGCAAGCGGGGCTGAAGGCCTGCGACTTTACCACAGAAGCACAGTAGCCACGTGCTTCCTCCGCGACCTCTTACATGCCGCCAGTCTGACCGCTGTCTAATGAGCGCAGCCCTGAACTGGTTGCTCTTCACAGAACTCTGACCACCTTTTCTCCACACTAAGCATCTATGATCAATCCATTAGACAAAACAAGTACTTATATGCGCAGAGCTCCTCATATCAACTCCAAATGATCAAAGCCTTGGTCAGACCTGAAACCTTGGAAGCTGCTACCGGAAGGAACAGGAGAAACATCAGAGCTTACTGGCATAGACAGGAACTTCCTGAGTAAAGTTCTGGGGGGTTAGCAAATTAGAGACAGACTCACTAAAAACTAAAACTAAAAACGTTCTGCACATGATTGCCTTACTTATGTAACTGTAACACCTCTGTACAGTATCTTTACAATAAAAATAAATTTTAAAAAAGTTCTGCACAACAGAGGACATAGTTACTAAGCTAAAAAGACAGCCTACAGATTGAAAGATCTTTACCAGCTATCCATCCACTAAGGGCCTAACATCCAGAAAACATAAGAAACAAAATCCCCCAAAAAGTCAGTAACCCAATTAATAAATGGGCAAAGGAGCTAAAAAAAGAGCCTTCTCAGAAGAATGATGAATAAACACACTAGGATGTGCTCAACATCCCTGGCCAGAAAGGAAACACAAATCAAAACAGCACTGAGATCCTATCTTACCCCAGTAAGACTGAATAGCATCAAGAATTCTAACAGAGCTGGGAGCTAGTGGCTCATACCTGTCATCCTAGCTACTCAGGAGGCTGAGATCTGAGGATCACAGATCAAAGCCAGCCCCAGCAGGAAAGTCTGTGAGACTCATCTCCAATTAACCACCAGAAAACTGAAGTGTGCAGTGGCTCAAAGTGGTAGAGCGCTAGCCTTGAGCTGAAGAGCTGAGCGACAGCGCCCAGGCCCAGAGTTCAGGCCCCACGACCGGACCCAAAAGAAGAAAGAAAAAAGAAAAAGAAACTAAACAGAGAACTTCCCAGTGATACGCTGCTGGGCGCCCATCCAGAGCACCCAGGTCAGGGTGCTGTGAAGACTGCATCATGCCAGGCCACACACACTAGCCAAGGTATGAAAACAGCCCAGATGCCCTGCACAAGATGAATGGGTCAGGAAAATGGGGTCATGTTGGAGTCACGGAGCAATGCTGCTCCTCATCCATTAGAAAGAGAATGTCATTGCAGGGAAACGGACAGGCCTAGAACAAACCATGTGAAGTCAGTCACACACACGTTCTCTCTGTGGAAGCTGCATCTACAAGCATACGTGATAACAGACTCCAGGATGATCTGCTCAGGTGCCTGTGTCTCCTCTGAAAGAGCCGGCGTGCTTTTACCAAAATGGATACCAGGAAGTGGACACGTGTTTTGACAGGGGGCAAAGAGTGGGGACACAGAAATGGAGGGAGGAAGAGTAAGCAGTCATTCAATTCACATCATTTTAAAAATGAAAGCTGTAACTTGAGGGTAGGGACAGGAGAGAGAAAA